CAATACATGTTTGTTAAATTAATGAAGTGTTACTGGCAGGAAACATAGCATCAGGAATCTTCCACTAGTACCTGGTTAATATCTACTATATGACCATTGACCTCTGGTGGTAAAGAGTGAATAGACTGATACAAGGGTAGGAGGTCTTGAACAACAGCTCTCTACAATGAAACAAAACAAAATGAAATAGAGGAAGAAGACATAGCAGCCATTTAGTCCATGGTGGTAGAAAATCTTACTGCCAAAGTAGGTACCAACGGCTGATATAGCAATGGCAGGCACTGATGTGGAGAATTAAATTTTCATAAGGGTCCATACCTAACACTAGGATAGTATTGCAGCTGCAGTGCAAGTAGGAATTATTCTGATGTTACAATGTCCCAGAAACATTGTCAAGCAGTTAAAGGCATCTTTGAGATAACTTAAGCTAATGCTTGACTCAGGAGCAGGTTTCTCTGGTGATTGTATGCTTAAAGGTTTCACGTCAGATGCAGTACTAGCGAACATTTTGGGAGACAGGACAATTTAACTCTTGAACATTTGATGATAACCACTTAGGGGCCTATTATTGAAGGATTAAAGTACATGCCTATCCAGTAAATGTTCAGATGACCTTCTTGCTAAAAAAAGTGTTCCAGACATTCTCTTTTTCCTGAGGTTGTCCAAAATATCAGTAGGACATGACAGCATGTAGGTATCTACCTGGTTCCTATATGGGCTCTTATCTATTGGTTGTAGCTGAGGACATATGACTGTAACGATCTAGGGAAAACCTGGGCCTGAACTTTCTCCATGCTAGGGCTACTAGTGTTAAGCTAGATTCTGTAACAAATAGACTCCCGAATATTTAATGTCTCAAACACAGCAGAAGTTTAGTTCTCATCCAAATAATAGTACAAGGTAGGTGTTCTTTGTTGGCAGGTGACTTCCTTCCAATATACGGATTCAGGGACCCAGGATATAACCATTTTATGGCCCTGCCATCTCCTAGGACCCTGTCATCATCTGCATTCATCTATACAAGTGAAAAATAACATGAAATGCATATATTTACTTCTTAAAAGCCTTAACCTAGAAATGGCATATATTACTTCCTCTTACATTTCACTGCTTAAAATTCAGTCATATGGCTACACTTAGCTCCAAGGGAGGCTGTAAAATGTGGACTAGTTGTTTTCCCAATAAGAAAGGAAATAGATTTGTGTTGAATAGCTAACAGACATAACCACTTTGTATTCTGTCTTCCAAAAGAGGTTTAGAATCCCATAGTTTTGGCTGCTTGGTTCATAAGAGATGGCACAATAAAACCTTAATAGTAAGGGCCCACTTTGCTCTGTGTGGGCTGAATTTCCATGTCCGCCTTAGCTGGTTTAAGCTGCATTGGACTAAGTGGCTTGTAATGGGTGGCAGGCTTTTATGCTTAAAAGGCAGCTTTAATGGTCAATAGCTGCCATTCGCACCAGGGATGATTTAACCTCAGCTTGGATCACCCTGTTGGAGAAGTAGGTTCATATTCTAAGCCAGTGTATTCCATCTCAATAAATGTCCCACCATACTCCCAATGCTCAAAATAGAATAGTTTGTGATTTAATCCTTTCCTTTATTTTCCACATGAAATATATATGTGTGTATATCTTTGTATATCTGTGTAAACATATTTATAGGTTAAGTTTCTATAATTAATGATTTATTACTGGTCAAATTCATCAGATATTTTTCTGTCTTCATCTTCATCTGACTTCTCTGGTATTTATAACATTTTCCTGAAATTCTTTCTGGCATTTACCTCAATTTCCTGAAACTCTTCCTGTGGTGTTCTTAATATTGTTCTAAATAGTCTTTTCTCCACTTTCTTGGCCTTATTTCTAAGTCTATTCAGGATGTTCTTTCTTTTCCATTTTTTAATTTTGATATTTCCCTCTTCTCTTTTTATTCTGTATGTTTTCTTTGGGCTATCTCATCTACTCCCATTAATTTCATGTACCATGCTTTGCATGCTTACAGTTCCCAAGTTTATTTATCCAGATCAGACTTCTTTCCTGAGCCCCAAACCCTGAATATCCAACTGTCTTTGGAATAGTTCCACCTTAATGTCTCACAGGCACCTCATTCTTAAGATGTCCCAAACTGAATTAATCAGCCTTCCCCACCACCAAAATTTTGTTTTCCCATCTGTCTTGGGTCAGATTCTCTAAAAGCTGAGCCTGAGATGGAGTTTCTTATTCAAATTACTCATTGAGAGAATGCTCCAAGAGAAAGGGAGTGAGGGAAGAAGGTTAGGGCAGAAGTAATAGCTCAGCAAGTATGTGATCTCTGCTGGAGACTAGCTTCAGTATGATGTCATGGGAGAAATGCTAGAGTGCAAGTTATACCATGAGTCCCAGCTTGAGGCTAGGGAGTTAGACTTTTGTACCAACCCCAGGCAGTCAGTCATTGGCTAAGGTCTGTGGGAGGGACCTAACCTTTAAAGTTAGTTGGCTTCCATTTGGTTTGGGCTCTAGGACAATTTTCCCAAGAATGGGACAGCTGTGAGTTATCAGCCAACATTCACAGTGGCTGGGGAATGCACAGTAGAGGTGATATGGGTGGGACACCAACATATCCATTACTGCACCATCCCTGAATTCCTTATATTGGTGTGTGGCACTGCTATCTACCTAGGAATACCAGTAGAAATCTGGAAGTGATCATGGAGCCCTTTTCCCTCTCATCCCCTATTAAATAGTAAGAATAATAGGTAGCTGTTATTGAATGCCCATAATATAAATTTCAAATACCATAGCAAGGTTCTCAAAGATGCTTGGGATGTGGTTCCTGTCTATCTCTCCAGCCTTGTGTCTCATCTTCCTTCCCTGCACTCTGTTCTGGCCACCCTAAACCTGTTGCAATTTCCTCAACATAACATGCTTTCCCTCTCAGCCACTCCCACCCTGTAACCTTCACCTGGTCAACTCTTAACTTGTCCCTGACGGTCAAGACATTACCTCTTCAGGGAAGCCTTCTCTGATCCTTCAAGCTGAATAAATATCTGAGCTCCCCCAGCATGCCATCCCCCCTTCCATAAGAATACATTTCACAGTAAAATACAGCTGTCAGCTTATTTGTCTATCACCCCCAGTTTGAATATGAGCTCTTTTAGGACAGTGATTTCATTTTGTTTAACTCTGCATCTCTAGCATACAGTCCGGTTCCTTGGACATTGTGGGCACACACTAAATGATTCTTGCATTAGTGAAAAAATTAATGATGCAAAGGGAAAATGTAGTCAAAATTCTAGATGTTTCTTCTGAAACAAATTTTGAAGATTTTGGCCTGATGTTTATGTAGGCTATTTATTTTAATAGATAAATATTCACAAATAGAAAATCTATTCCACCTTTCATAGTATGAAACTTCTTTAGTCTTCCTGGCTCCCCAAGCTCCATTCTAGAGTCCCCAAAGAATCAGGAAGAAGGCCACAGCCCGAGGATTCACTTAATATACCAAGAGAGATCTCTCTCTAAAATCTCCCTCTTTGACCATTGCATTAATTTTCTATCACTGGCTATGATATTGTGATTTATAGTAAAAAATATATATTTGGTCTTCATCCATATTTCTAGCACAGAGCTCCTAAAACCCTTGGAATTTCCTAAGTGAGGAGGGTGATAAAGGTGTCTTTTGTTATGTTAGTGAGATTTTTGGATCATACCTAAGGATGGGAGCTGGTTGCCTGGGAACCAATCACTTGATTAGAAGGTTGGAGCTTTTCAGTCCCACCCACCACTGACTACTGGGGAGGGGAGAGGGGCTGAAGGTTGAATCAATCATGGATGACCAATGATTTAATCAATCATGTCTATGTAATGAAGCCTTCATAAAAACTTCAAAGGACAGAGTTTGGAGAGCTTCTAGGCTGGTGAACATGTGGAGATTTGGGGAGAGTGGCATGCGTTCTGAGAGGGCATGTAAGCTCCACACCTTTCCCCCATACCTTGTCCTATGCGTCTCTTCCATCTGGCCGTTCCTGAGTTATATCCTTTGATAATAAACTGGTCATCTAGTAAGTACAATGTTTCTAAGAGTTTTGTGAGCCACTCTAACAAATTAATTGAACCCAAGGTGAGGGGTGTTAGAACCTCCAATCTATAGCTGGTTTGTAAATGCCCAGGTGACTTGGGCTTGTGACTAGTGTCTGAAGTGTGTATGGGGGGAGGCAATCTTGTAGGACTGAACCCTTAACCTGTGGACTTTGATGCGATCTCCAGGTAGATAGTGTCAGAATTGAGTTGCATTATAGGACACCCAGCTGGTGGTGGAAAATTGTTTGGTTATGTGGGGAACCCCTTCCCCCAACAGACACAGTGGAATTGGTGAGTAGAACCTTTATCACCATACCAAAATAGCACAAACATAGTGGCTTAAAACAACACCCATTTATTATCTCATTTTTCTGTAGATCAGAAGTCTAAGTGGGATCAGCTGGGTGCTCCACTTAGTGTCACATAAGGATGAAGTAAAGGTGTCAGTCACTTGGGGTTCTTATTTGGAGTCTCTGGGGGAAAATCACTTCTAGGCACAGTCAGGTTGTCAGCAGAATTTAGTTCTGTTCAGCTATAGGACTGAAGTCCTCATTTCCTTGCTGGCTGTTAGCTGAGAGCTGTTCCCAGCTTCTGGAGGCTCCCCACAGTCCTTGGCTTGTAGCCTCCTTCCTCTCTCTTCAAAGCCAACAACGGAGTGTTAAGTCCTCACACTTTGAATCTCTCTGACTTCCTCTCTTCCCTCCTCTTCTGATTTAAAGGCTCATGTAATCAGATTAGGCCTACCTGCATAATCTCCCTTTTGCCATATAACATAACAATCACAGGACTAACATTAGGGACTGGAGATCATGTGGGCCAAGATTCAGCTTTTCACAGCAAGCAGTCATAGGAAGGATGAAGAGAAAGGTATGTGCCCTCAACTCTGGTCCCCAATTGTGACAGGACAGTTGTGACTTTCCTCTCTCCCTCTGTTTCCAGATGAAGGAACTGCGTCATGAGAATATTAACCCTTTATTGGGTTTCTTCTATGATTCAGGGATGTTTGCCATTGTGACAGAATTCTGTTCCAGAAGGAGCCTAGAAGACATATTGACAAATCAGGATGTGAAACTTGACTGGATGTTTAAATCGTCACTTCTGCTCGATCTCATCAAGGTTAATGGAAAGACTGAGGAAATCTTGGATTTTCCCTATAGATTAGAATTTAAATGTTTTGGGATATTTTATTTTCCTTGGATCATTGTGATGATCTCATTCTTCTACCTTCCTTCCCAAGGTCTGCCCCCACCCCTTCTCATAGTCCCTTTGTCCATATCTGTTATTAAGGTACTGATATAAAAGGGACTTACTTGACCCACCCCTTCTCCCAATTTGAGGGCCAGATTTGTCCTTGCTTTCTGTTGCCATTGAGCACTCTTTGCCTTAAGCAACCCTTTCTTCCATCCCATTTCTCTGCTTTCTGGATGTGGGAAAGTATTCATTCCCAGACCTTTTGGTGCTGCTTAACCTCAAATCCTGGTTTTCACCTTCTAAAAGGTGGTTCAGTCTAGAACTAGGTGATAGGTCTTTGCACAGCATAAGTGTAGATATGTAACTCAGCATGACCAGAAAGCCAAAAGATCATAGGGTCTATCAGGCAGCACTTTCATTCTCTGAGGCAGGGACTATTGAAAGTCAAGGGGATTCATGGATGCATCTATAGATGGGCTTTAGTGGAGTCCATGAACTCCTGGAAATAATATGCAAATTGTTGTCTATGTGCATTTTTATGGGACTGAACTGGTTAAGCAATGACTTGTTGAGCTTCTTGCATATTGACCACAGTCTTGATCTTTATAGTGTGGCCTAACCCTTTTCAAGGTAGCTTTATAGACATTATCTCATTCCAATTCTCCATAAAATAAGTATGATTAGCCTCCTTTTACAGAGGCTCAGAGAAGCTAAATGAAGTACACTTTGTTATATAGTATCTGCCATACATAGTAAGTGCTCAATAAATATTTATCAGCCAACTATTAAGTGGCAGAGCTGATGATAGAATTCAAATCTCCTGATTTCAATTCTAGTACTCTTTCCACTCAACCTGTAAGCAAGGTCCCATGAGTTAAGGGAGAAGCTTCTAAATGACAGACCTCTCAGGCCCATGATGAATGAAACCCAAACATTAGACAACCCCTGGGGGAAATCTCACCCACTGCAGACTCATCTTGGAAGTACTGGGGAGTGCAGAGTTTCTGAGAGCACAAGATGTAAAGCATACAAATACAAAGGGGTGTCAGGGTGCAAAATAGAGCCAGATACTTAAAAAGGCTCAGCATAAAAAGATCTGAGATGATTGCACCAGAACATGAATTTTATTTATATGTGAATGAGTAAGCCCATCTGATAGAGTCCTCATAGATCACCTTTGAATGTCATATAAAGTTGCCAAACAAGCCGCAAAGATCAACAGTATTCAGCTTTCTTCTTTTTAATTACAAAAATAATGTATTAAATTAAATTTAAAATCAAAAGATAAAAGTATATATGGGAAAAATATTGACATTTACTCAACCCTCTTTCATATCCTCCCCCAGAGTTAATCACTGCTGACAATTTGGTGATTAACCTTGCAATTCATTTCATGTGTGTTTACATACATTCTAGATTTTGTTTGTTTTTTAAAATACATACTGTTATGTAGTTTTGCACCTTTCTATTTTTCACTTACTTTATGGCTTAAAGATGATTCCATGTTAGTATATACAGATCTATTTCATTATTTTTAACTGCTGCAGAATATTCCATAGTTTGGATGTACCAAAATTTGGACAGTCCCTTCCTGACAGATATTTATTGTATTTTTAATTATATAATATTATAAAGCGGAGCTGCCTTGAGCATTCTTGTGTATGTCTCCTTGTGCAGATGTACAAGCATTTCTTTAGAGGAGAAGCAGAATCCCTAGGTCACAGGGTATGCATGCTTTCAATTTTGATATCTACTGCCAAATTGCCCACCAAAAAGGATGTACCAATTTCCATTCCTGCCAACAGTGGATGAAAGTTGAGTTAGACCTTTTTGGGAGAAAATCAGAATCTTCCAATTCTTGGAAATTATATATGTATGGATCCATCCTATGTTTGAAATGTTAATAAATCTCCCAATAGCATACAATTCTCCATACACACAAGATACAATTCTTCATCAAAAGCATAAAATTTTAGAGCTGAAAGGGACCTGGAAGTAATTCTTGTCAAAGTTTTGCTTTGCCTGCATATAAGAAAAAAGAGACTGAATTCTGGACCATAATAGCTCATGCCATTAACAAGCTCAGAAACTGGCTCTAAAAGCACAAAATAGTTAAATAAGTTACTAAATAAATCCTGTTTGTATCATCTGCAGGGCATGAAGTACTTACACCACAGAGAGTTTGCTCATGGGAGGTTGAAATCTCGGAACTGTGTGGTAGATGGGCGTTTTGTACTAAAAGTGACAGATTACGGCTTTAATGACATCTTGGAAACGCTAAGACTCTCCCAAGAGGAACCTTCTGCAGAAGGTAAGCAATGTATTTATACCCTTCTGATGCACACAAGGTAACTCCAAAATTCAAATGAGAATATGCACTGAATTAAAGCCTCAGGCTGATTCAACTCCCCACTTTTGTTGAAAATTCAGCCTCATTTCCAAGCCAAAGGAGTTGAATGAAGTCTGCAGGCTGTAATCTCAGCACAGCCTACTTCAGAACAAAGCCGGTGCAATAATGTTGAGTTCCTGCTGTGGCAGGATTAGGCTGTATTGTTTGGAGACCCCAGGAGTCTCTGGAGGAACTTGCTGAGCGATAGGCACACAGTAGGTGCTCAATAAATACTTGTCAGATTGAATGGAAGGTAATTTGGTAGCTGGACCCCCACAAAGCCCATTCTGGAATGGGATGTCCCTAGAGCCTACCCTCACTGTCTCCGTCAGAGAGAAAGAAGCAAGGAGGGGGATCCCAGCAAGTAAATACTCTATGGGTTGCGCGGGATGGCTTCAGACAGAACTGTGTCCTTCTAGTAAATAAGTAGGCAGGCCTGTAAAGCGCATTTGGTGTTTTCTGTCTTCTATTAAGTGCCCTAGTGACAGCACCAAACAATGCCTGTAGGGGTCGTAACAGATCAAAGAAATGGGAGAAATCTGCGATGGGGAATTGGGAGTGGGTGAGTGAGAAATAGGAGGAAATGAGTTGACAGAAGAGAGGAGGGAAGAAAAAGAAAGAGTAAGAAGGAGAGAGAATGAGTAGAGTTAAATACATAGAGGAAATGTGGGCATTAAAAAATTTAACCAGCAGGGCGCCTGGGTGGCTCAGATGGTTAAACATCTGCCTTCGGCTCAGGTCATGATCTCAAGGTCCTGGGATCGAGTCCCCACATCAGGCTCCCTGCTCTGCGGGAAGCCTGCTTCTCCCTCTGCCTTTCTCTCTCGCTCTGTCTCTCACGAATAAATAAATAAAATCTTCAAAAAAAAAAAAATTAACCAGCATTGCCAGGGTGAAGAAAAAAGAGTGACACAAAAACACAGAGAACCAGACAACCCAAAAAAGACAGACAGAGGGACAGATCGAAATTACAACATATATTCTTAAAAGAATCTTTGGCAGTGTAAGTTTTAAAACTGCCGACGTGAGAGAAACAAAGACTGAAAGACACAGAGAAACACGTGCACAGATACAGACAAGACCGCCCAGCCATCAGTGGCAGCATCAGTATGGTGCGCAGGGATGGGTTGAATGTTGGGGAGGCATCTAGTCCAACTCTCTCATTTTACAGATGAGATAAGTGAGGCTCAAGATTTTTCCCAAGTCCTACAGCTACTTAGCAGCAGTTCCAGAAATTCAATTCAGGTCTTTTGAAGACTGGCCCCTATATGCAGCGAAATTACAACTTATAATAACATTTTCGTTTCTCTGCCTATCCATGCTTTGGAGGACGTGAAGCTCCCGGTAATCACAATAAAAACCAGTCTCTCTTTCTCTCTCTCTTTTCTCCCTCTCTCTCTTTCTGTGGACCTGTTCTTGTTGCCAACTTAGTCTTATGGTTATTGTTTGGCTAATTCCAATTTGAAAGCTTGGAGTAGTTGCCTGGTATTATGGCTAGGATGTTGGGGACAGCAGCTGCAGATTGGCAAGTACTTAGCTTCCTGTCAAGATGAGTCATCTACAAAAGATAAAACACAATGCCCAACTTCCCAGAGTTCCACTTAATTCACAGGTTGGCAACTTGCAAACTTAAGAAACTCTGGTCTTAGAGTGGGGAAAGGATAGGGGGTGGGGGGAAGTGCGTGTGTGTGCGTGCGTGTGTGTGCCTGCGTGCGTGTACCCTGTCTGTGTCTTTCTCTGTCTCTCCTTCTTACTGTTTCATTTCACTCTCCAAATTGCAATGGCAGTCTGGATCACAATCCATTCTTCACACACCACAGCCAGAGGGAGTTCTCTCAACTGCAAATCTGATCATGTTAGAGCTGTGCCAAAATGCACTGAATGGCTTCCCATTGCTCTTAGGATAAAGTTCAAATTCCTTTACATGGCTTATGAGCCCTGTGTGGTTTGGGCCTTGTGGACCTCTCGTGCTTAATCAACTCCCCCTCCATCTCTGGGCTCTAGCAGTGCTGAACTCCTTCCAGTTGTTTATTTACCCCAGGCTCTCTCTTACTCCCAGACCGTCACACACGCTGTGCCCATTCCTTGGGACACTCTTCCTTTCCCACTCTGTTATAAACTCCTCTGAGTCTGGCTAGATTCTATTCCTTCTTCAGGGCTCAACTTAAATACCACTGATTCAACAAGAGACTTTCCATGACCCCCTCTGCTCAGCTAAGTTTCCCTCTTTATGATCCTTAGGGCTTTGAACTTTGTTGTAATACCATACTTTGTTGGTATTACGTGTTTAATTAGCTGCCTTCTCTCCCAACTCAACCTATAAGCTCCGCAAAGGCAAGAAACATGTTTGCCTCGCCCAGTGCCTTTCACTGTACCTGGCAGAATAAATGTTTGGTGAATCAATGAATGGATGAAGTAAAATGAAATAAGGACACTTGCTGCTTCCTCCATAGATGACAGGGCTAATAGAATCTTATAATTGCGAGCCTCTTGCAGATCGTCTGGCTCAACGTCTGTTTTACAGATGGGGAAGCTGAGGTTCAGTAAGGTGAGCGACTTAGTGACCAAGCTCAGATTTTGAACCTCGGTCTCTTGACTTCCAGCTCTCTGTTCTTTTGCGCTTCACCGCACTGGCTCTCCACAATTGATTCTTATCACCACAGCAAGGCTCAGACTTAATACTGGCATCAGTAGATGCTAAACAAGCCAAAGTAATTGTTCTAGTTTTCCTAAGAGTTCAAGTCTAATGGTGGGTAGTGGCTCTTACTTGGCTCTAGAGTGGGGATGGGGAAATGGGGGTGGGTTGTAAGTGTATTCATTACTGCCCACTTTCAATTACATAAGTATAGCACAGATAAAGCCTCATTTTAGCCATTAACAACATACATGTAAGTGCTCTTTGAAAATACTCTTCGGTAATGATTGTATTTAATCACCCAGCTTTTTACTGGAGAGTTCTGTCCTTTTTTCCCTTCTTGTGCTTTTAAATGTATAGGAAAGAGGATGGCAGAAGAAACAGCTGCATTTTTCTTGCTGCGAGATAACCCTCCTGCCCTCCTCCTCCAAACCATATCAAAAATGTATTCCTGAAATCCCACAGTCAGAAATGCATTCCTTTGACCAAAGTAACATTCAGTCTCTTTGGGAGTTCTTTGCAAATATAAGTCCTCCTAGGCAAGAAGACATAAAGGCAAAACCACTATAGGGACTATCAGAGACTTTCATGGGGGCGGGAGAGTGGGGGGTGTGTGTGTGTGACAAAGGCTGGGGACACCTGGAGAACAAGGAGGGAAGATGAGTACATGATTGGGGGTAAGGCTAGAATTCCCTATTCCACCATTTTGATCAGGATTGGCTTAAAATAGGAATTTCCAGGGGGAGTTTCTCTTTCCTGGGTTTCACTCACACACCAAAATAATCTCTGACCTTTCCATCCTCCTTCCTGCTTCACAGGAACTTGTACCCTGGGCTCCCTTCCCAATACCTCAAAGTTAACAAGATGAAAAGGTAGCCAGCACTTTTCCCCCACTACCCCCACTCTCAGCAGACTCTTCTCCAGCCTTCCTTTCTGGACTTCAACCCCTTGTTTACTCCAGACCTTTTCCCGCCAAGGAGCACATCGAGTCCATCCCCAGCCCTGTTACTACCTTCTCCATTATAGCCTTCCTGTGTATCTGGTTCCCTGTCCTGCTGCTGCCGCCCCCACCCCCATTCAGGCCCCTTTCACCTCGCCTTGGGCTCTTACTGTAATAACTTCCTAACTGGTCTCCCTGACTCCAGCCTCTCTCCTTCAATCCAGCTTGTGCAGGTTGCCAGATTAATCTGACGAATACAGCTTTCATCAAATCCCTCTCCAGCTCCTGCACCCCTACTGCCTTTTGTATTCACTCCAAATGCCTTCATTTGGCTCTCAGGGCCTCTCACCTTCTGCCCTCATTCTTCTAGCCACCCTCCCTCCCCCAGTTCATCAACCCCATTTCTCATTTCTCATTATTCCTTAACAGAGCCCTTCTCTTCAGCCAAGCTAATCTGCTTACCACCACCCCCATCTGCAATTTGCTCCTTTCTACTTCCTGTTCTTTTGCACGTACTGTTCTTTCTCCCTGCAAAGCCCTTACCCTCTCAGCTCTAGGAAACAGCATCCTTGACCTTTTTAACAAGATCCTTTAAGATCTAACTTTTCCAGGAAGCCTTCCTGGATTAATTTGATCAGCTCAGTTTTCTCTCCCTCTCTCCTTTTTTTTTTTTTTTTTAGTTTGAGCCTCATGGAATTGTCATTATTCAACCATTTTTACCCATAGAAATGGCAATTTCATATGATTCCATGTAAAATGCTCCCTCCCACTTTTGACTACTCCATTTATATTACTAATGTGTGAATGTGTTATTTATTTATTTATTTATTTATTTATTTAAGAGATGGAGAGAGAGAGAGAGAGAGGCACATGAGTGGGGAGAGGGGCAGAGGGAGAGGGAGAGAATCTCAAGCAGACTCCACGCTGAGCACGGAATCTGATGGGGGTGGGGGGTGGGGGCTCGATCTCATGACCCCGAGATCACAACCTGAGCTGAAACCAAGAGTCAGACGCTCAGCTGAGCCACCCAGGCACCCCGCTGTGTATTTCTTTATATATTACTTAAATAGCCCTGCCATGTATTGCAGTTAGGGGGTTCACATGTCTGTGTTGCCCATTGCTCTGTGAACTCTGCAAGGGCAGAGGCAAGGTCTAATTCATCTCTGGTGCCATCCCTGCACCTAGTGTAGTGCCCAGTACATAGTAGACCCTCAATAAATATTTGTAGAACTGACTTGAAGGAATTGTTGCATCTTCTTGCTCTGTGAGGAATAGAGGAGGCCTGGAGATCCTCCAATCCTCTTAGAGAAGACCTGGAGAAAGCAACTTGTGAATCCCTGAGCCCCAGCACAATCAAATTACCAGACACATATAGATCTCAGCAAATAGCAAATCCATGGCAACCGGAGTGGCTGTGCACTTGCCTTTCCCTGGAAGCCTGCCAATTGCTACTTGCAGGCTCAAGAGAGCAAGAAAGCATGTGCCAGATAGTTTTTCTACTTTGAGCTTCTCTGTCCTGCCCCACACCTCCGCTCTATCTGCCTTCATGGTCCTGGAGTGGGGAGAGTAGTATGCTTTCTCTGTGTGCAATTTCTTAGATTCGTAGATTTGGACCCCGGGCGGGGGGCACTAGCATGCCAGTCTGTCTAATAAAAATATAAAGCAGTCAATGAAACAGCACCCTTGGAACCCTTGAGGGCATTGCAAACACTGTCAGTTAATCCTCCCTGCATTCATTACACAATGCTTTCTTTTCAGAGTTGCTATGGACGGCCCCTGAACTATTGAGAGCCCCAAAGGGCAGCAGGTTAGGTTCTTTTGCAGGAGACGTCTATAGCTTTGCCATCATCATGCAAGAAGTGATGGTCCGGGGCACCCCATTCTGCATGATGGATCTGCCTGCCAAAGGTAAGCGGGAGGTGAAAAAAGGCCACTAGGGGCCCACCATGACCTAGATCATCAGCCTACCCCAGGCGGTTGTAATTTGCCAGAAGAGTGAACACAGTTATGTGTTTGTGCTAACTGCCTGCTAGTCTGCAAATAGCCCGTGTTGTGTGCATGTGGGACTTAGAACCAAACAGATTTAGGCATTTTGAAGAAGTTTCCCAACCCAAGAAGTTGGCCCTTTCCAAACTGGAACATTAGCCAAGAACCTATAGGACCTATGTTGGACTTTTTTTTTTTTTTTTAGCAGCCTCCTCTACTTTGAGACACTCCCTGTCAGGTATTTCAGTACCCCTCATGATGCGCCTGGATGGCAAGGTCCTTCCATACTTTCCCTATGACATGCCATAAGCTTTAATCCTCATTTTTCATCAAAATGATTGCCTATCAGGCACAATCCATCAAGGAATGGTAAAATCAGTGGGCAAAAGTTTGAGGGGAAACAGGATATTTGCATAATCTAAGAGTATGAACCCACTAGATATGTAGTAATTATAAGTGGAAAAATAATAAATTTACTAGGGGAGGATGATCCTGCAGACACCACCTTAACCAAGTGACCAAGGCACACTGTCATCATGTACCCCCTGACATGATGCACTGAGAAGGGCACAATGTCACCTTTGTGGAATTTTTGCCAAAAAATGCATAACAATCTACCCAGGAGAAAACATCAGACACATCCCAAATGAGAGACATTCTGCAAAATAATTGGCCCGTATTTATCAAAAGTCATGAAAGACAGGGACAGAATGAAGAAACATCACAGACTGAAGGAGACAGAGACACGATAATTAAATGCAATATGGGATCTTGAATTGGATTGTGGGACAGAAAAGGAATATTAGGAATAAAATTGATGAAATTCAAATAAAGACTAGAACAGTAATAGTAATGTACCAGTGGTAATGTACCAACCATTGTACTATGGTTATATAAGCTATTAACATTAGAAGAAGCTGAGTGAAGGGTATACAGGCAATTATTATACTAGTTTTATAACTTTTCTGGAAGTCTAACTTTATTTCAAAATAAAAAAATAAAAAATACAAACAAAACAAAACAAAGAAACCCAAAATACTTAGCTATCTTTTGCCGCCACTCAGAGTCCCATATCACTCCTCTACTCAGAACTCCCTAACTGTTCCCCGTCACTTGTCAATGAAGCCCAGATTCCTCACGTGACATACAAGGCTCTTTGAAATCTGCCCCTAGCCACCTCTCTAAGCTTATGTTCTGTCACTCCCTACACTCCAGCTAAACCACATGACTGAAAGTACCATGGTCTCTCTTACCTCTGTGCCTTCAAGAGAGCTGTTCATAGTCCTTGGAATGCCCTCACCTTCTCCCCACTTTGCCTCATCCAATTTTTGTCACCTCCTCTGGAAAGCCTTCTCTGACCTCTTCAGTGTGGGCCAGGTGCCCCCTCTGTGCTTACCTGTGTGGACTATCTGCTAGAACACATATTGTTGGTCCCTGTATAGCTCCTCCATTGAACTCTAAGCTCCTCAAGGGCATGAATTATGCTGGGCCTAAATGGAGAAGTAACCCATTCAACTCAGTGGTGTTCTGGTAAAAAGATCAGGACTCCCTTTACCAGAGAGTGGATGAGGGCAGTCACTCTCCAAGGGGTTGGTTCACATGGAATCTATTACACTGAGAGCAGGGCGCTGCAATGGAGAAACCATTACTTGTATGGGTCAACGTGGGTTGAAGGAGCAGAGGTGCAATATCAGAAGGAGCTGAGAGGTCAGAGGCAACAACCTCCCCTTCTTTCATGGAGACAAGGGCGCACTTACCATGGTATGAAGCAGCACTGTTGGAGTGTTACAGCCAATATAGGGGTGGGAAGGGCACACTGGTGGGGCAAGCAAGGTTTGGTGCCTGTTGGAGTTGGGGCTGTGGGGAGGGGGTTAGGGATAAGAAATGAGCTGAAGAGATAGGGCTTAGATTTTACCCTGTGTGTTATGAGAAGTCGTGAAAGGGTTTTAAGCAAGAAAGTGACATGGCCAAATTTGTGTGTGGGGGGGGGTTTTTTTTTTTTTTTTTG